GCCACTGGGGGGATACCTTGATAGGTCGCAAAAAGGGGGCTGGTGAAATGCTACCCTCTGGTTATGACTAACATAGGGAAAATCCCAACCATAAATGAAGGTTTCTAGCTGGGAAAATCATCTATTTCTATGGGCCATCTATACCATGGCTATGTTAAATAACCAGAGGGTAACTGTTTTTTCTTGGGGATTATGATAAGCCAGAAAATCGGGATGCCTATCAACTAGTATAATGAGATAGGGCTATTTGATGCTATTTGTCATGTATAATTGGCGATGTTCCACAGTTCAACTTTATGGTAAGTTAAATCCCCATGTTTGTTGGCTGAAGCTGAATACTATGGTCAAATCCCAATTCTTTGGTTGAACTGTAAAAAACTCAACCATTCTTGAGTAAATTCCAAGTTTTGCTGCTTAAACCATGAATTTTCCCATAATTCAACCCCTATTTGCTGTGTAAATATCGCCATGGTTCCTTTTTCGGAGGTCATCCTGCTACATGGTGTGCTTGCCCTCACGACCGGCCACGGTGCGGAAGCCTTATGGAGGTGAATGGAGGTCCAATCGCTGGATGTTTAAGGAAGATCCTAACCTGGATGATTTTGAAGGGTATCCCCATTGGAAAATGATTGAAGGGTACCATTTCAGGAAACCCCCATAGATTATAAGGTATCCCCATTGGCAGTATTTTTTGCTGACGCCATTTTTGATTGTGACACGGATCCATCCCACAATTCATTTGTTTCTTGGTGCTCTGTCCAGTTTTCTTCAACGTTATTGAAAATCCCCAGCACATTTTTCATCCATGTAATCCATGTAATACAATGAATGGTATATCACCATGTTCCCAACTGAAAACATGCTAAAACCACTTAAAACCTCCATTTATAAGGGATTGTCCATCTTTCTCCTCCATCAAAACCATGGGATTTTTTCCAGTCAGCCAGCTGTGTTTTGTCGGCCAGGTCGTCTTCGCTGGGGCCACTCGCAGCATTGCCACTCCACAGGATTCACGGATTTTCAATGTGGGAGTACCCCCATAGCTGGATGGTTTATACCCTCTGGTAAACCAACATTACTATGGAAAATCGCCATTTCTAATGGGTAAATCCACTATAAATGGTCATTTTCAATAGTTACGTTAGTTTACCAGAGGGTAAATGGAAAATCCGAGCATCAAATGGATGACAAAATGTGGTGCCCCCATTTTGACAACCTCCGAATCATCTATTTTAATAGGATTTTCCACTATAAACCATCCAGCTCTTGGGGTACCCCCATTTCAGGAAACTTCCATATGAAGGAAACCCTGGTGAAATTCTACAGTTCTTTGGCCCTAAACAGTTATAACTGGCTTATTTCATAACACATAACCAGTTACAGGAGTCATTTCATCCCGTGTGTAAAGTTCGAACGGTCGAAAGTTGTTGGGAACTTCCTTCAGAGGGTCTATTGCAGATGAGGATTGACCAACCCACAGCATCGCCATGACGCTGTTCAAGATCAAATTGCAGATGATCCAAAGTACATACATCATTATTTTATCATCAAATTTCATCATTATTTCATCATCGAAGGAAGTTTAGAAGTCAAACTTCCGACAATATGGACTGAAAAGCAGAGCAGGGCAGAGGCAGAGAGAAGAGAAAGATTAGAAGAGAGAAGATCAGAAGAGAAAGAGTCAGAAGAAAGAAGATGGAGATGCGCGAAAAGGTAGGAAAGTCGCGAAACACCCTGTGTGTTTCCAATGATTTGTGGCTCCGGAGGGTCGAAAAGTAGGCTCGCTAAAGCGGCGGGTGCGGAGCCAGCTGGCCAGATGAGAGATGAAAATTTGCACGCCGTTGTGGCGCGAAGCACATTTTGAAGTCAAAATGTACAAAGCACACCATTGTCGGACCACTTTTGGAAGTTGCGATGTCGAAAAAGTGCACGCCGTTGTGGCGCGAAGCACGTTTCCAAGTCAAAATGTACAAAACACACCATTCTCGGACCACTTTTAGAAGTTGAGATGTTGAAAAAGTGCACGCCGTTGTGGCGCGAAACACATCTCCAAGTGAAAATGTACAAAACACACCACGTTCGGACCACTTTTGGAAGTTGCGATGTCGAAAAAGTGCACGCTGTTGTGGCGCGAAGCACATTTTGAAGTCAAAATGTACAAAGCACACCATTCTCGGACCACTTTTGGAAGTTGCGATGTCGAAAAAGTGCACACCGTTGTGGTGCGAAGCACATTTTGAAGTCAAAATGTACAAAACACACCAGGTCCGGACCACTTTTGGAAGTTGAGATGTCGAAAAAGTGCACGCCGTTGTGGCGCGAAGCACATTTCGAAGTCAAAATGTACAAAACACCACATGTTCGCGCCACTTTTGGAAGTTCGGATGTTGGAAAAGTGCACGCCGTTGTGGCGCGAAGCACATTTCCAAGTCAAAATGTACAAAACACCACATGTTCGCGCCACTTTTGGAGGTTCGGATGTTGAAAAAGGTGCGCGCCGCTGTGGCGCGAAGCACATTTTGAAGTCCAAATGTACAAAACACAGATAGATGGATGGATGGATGGATGGATAGATAGATAGATAGATACATCGATAGATACATCGATAGATACATAGATCGATACATGGAGAGATAGATAGATACATGGAGAGATAGATAGATACATAGAGAGATAGATGGATGGATGGATAGATAGATAGATAGACAGATAGACAGATATATATATAGAGAGAGAGAGAATTTGATTGATAGACAGACAGATAGACAAATAGATAGAGAGATAGTTAGCTCGATAGATAGATGGATAGAAAAAATGATAGATAGACAGACATATAGATAGAGTGATAGATAGATAGATAGATCGATAGATCGATCGATAGATATACGTGGGATTCAAGCCAAGCCCGGCCTCGGGTCTGTTTTCGGCACGATGGCGCACGCCAGCACAGCGGCAGCCGAAGATTCCTGTCCGCTGTTGCTAGGAAAAAACCAGCTGCCGCGACACCGTGAGGCAGACACGTCGGAGGGATGGGTAACATTTCTTCATGTTTTTCTGTACGATCATAACCGTGGGTTATAATATTGCATGATAGGTGTCTTTCTAATCCTGCATCGACGCTTGTGGTAGGAACATGTCCATTGGATGAGAGAATATCGGTTGTCCTTTCATGGTGGATTCATCAATATGTTCAATATGTTGGTATTGTGATGATATGACTGTCATCCTATGAATGATGTGTAGATGCTTGGTTTTTAGTCATGAGAATGTCCATCTTCACTTAAGACGGGTTAGCTCTCACAACACAGGTTGTGTCTCAAACGATCTTTGTTTGATCTTGATGGTTTTAGGTTCTTGATGGTTTTAAGGCTCACCTTTCAATCCATCAGTGGGTTCGCTCTGCCATTGTTGCGTCACACCAAGTCACCTCTCCTATAGGTTTTCCATTTTTGAAACTTCTGCCACCGCCTTGTGCGGTACTACTGGTATGTTATCATCATTTCATCATCATTTTATCATCATTTCATCCAATAACCCTACTCCAATGGATGATGAAGCACAAAAATCAAAGGTAAATCATAGATGTGAAACACTCATCCCGTCCAGGAGCTTGAGGACGGCAAGGGTTTCTTCAAGCCCTGCAGTGATTACGGTGGCTACACCGGCTCCGTTGGGGCGCCTGATGACTTTGCTTTGAAGAATGGGAATTTTTCACCAGCCAAAACGTGGGGAAATGCCTCAAAAATTGAACTACTTTATGGGGGAACCATCTAGGAAAAAAAGTGTGTATAGTCTGCAAAACTTGCGGATTGGGAAAGAAGATGACGATCCAACAATAGAGGGGATGTGTGGGTTGTGTGGCTAGTAAAACCATGGTTTCAAGCCACTTGTAAGTTGGATAAAAGCTTAGGAGTTGGAGTCCTACTCAGCTCGGTCATCTGCACTGGGATGGGAACTGCCGGGTTTGAACTGCCTGGAGGACAAAGGTTCTTGAAGGAAAGTCTTGTTGAGGGACTTCCTCTAAGCCATTTAGAAACAGAAGTGGTGATATAGCTATTTTGATGGGATATGACGGAAATATACCACCAATGATTCCGATATAATGAGCCAACTTGAGATGAGATTGTGATTTTCCAACTTGAGATGAGATTGTGATTTTCTAAAAATGTTGCGTAAACCACGAAAATTGTAATTCTAGTAGGGAAAGTGATGATATACCATTGGATTTAGGGTGCCCTACTTTCAGACAATCCCAATGGTCCAATGGTAAAGGGATTGTCCCTCATTGAAGCAGGTCCAAAATGTTCTGTGACATTAACCTCCTATTCTTCACTAGTCCAAAGCACAATTTCCTGCTTTCCTACTTGAGGACATCCCATTTGGCCCACAGGGTTCTGCTGGCGTCGTTTCGTGTCAGTGCTGACGATCACTTTGGTTTTGCGGAGCTCCGATGGTCGCTCCGCATCCGCGATGGCCTGGTGAGACCAGCGACCCATTGAGGCACACCCATCAACGCTTGAATACGTTCCGCGCAAGCAAGGGGGGAGCGATTATGTATATACAAGATTGGTTTCCCACCGCCCCTGCGGGCCGGGTGAGTCTGAAACGTACAAGCCCGACTGGGACATGCTGGTGGAACAGAGTGCTTACTGTGCCTGAAAGATTGCAGAACAAGCTGCTGCTGTCCTCTCTGACTCTCTGACTCCTCGAAATATTGCCATCACTGTAGGCTCTATGCAGCGCTTAGTGTTGGTGGCCCGAAACCCTGAGTTGCCCCGTGATTGTCATTTGGTCCTTTATTGTGATCCATCCCATTGAACCGAAAAGTCCTCCATTTTGCCCATTTTATGGTGTTTAAACCTCACAATTCCCATCTCCGTTGCTGAAAATGTCCCAAAATCCCCATCAGCCACGTTCCGTCAACAGCTGAGATTTCTGCCAGCTGCAACGCTGGTGCCTTGGAAGTGGATGTCTCCGCATGTGAGTCGGGATGCCGAGACATGCCCGGTGGTGCCCTTTTGATGGGAGGAGATGCTGCTGGATTTAAGGCATGGGATCAGTGGGGATTTCATGGGATGTTTCCATTGTTCATGTGCAGGGTGGTGCCCCCAGTAGTTCATAGAGATTCTAATCCAACCCAAAAAACTGCGGGGTACCACCCTGTGGCAATCGAAAATGGCTTATTTGTAGATGATTTTCCCAGCTATAAGACTCGATTTGTAGCGGATTTGCCATTGCTAGGTTTGATTACCAGAAGGTATCTGGAAAAATAAGAGGAAAATCATTCACCAGATATGACCGGACTTATCTCCATGTTGTGCAACAGTAGATGGCGGACATGTAATTCAATAAAGATGATAGTGGGGTCTGATTTGTTAGAGATGACCTACCCAACTAACCTTTTCACCTAGATCTATCATCCCACAGCTTGGTTCCCATCTCGGAAGCCCGATGCATAAATTGTGGCTGTTAGCAGAAACCATCTGGTAAACATCGAAAAAGCTATGGAAAATCACCATTTTTTTAGCGTAAATCAACTATTTCTATGTTCACTAGCGAACTGTTAAATTACCACCTATAAATATGCAAGAAAAAATCATCACCTGAACATGTATCTGTTGGAGATGTTTTTAAAAATGGTGAGATGATGTTTAATTAAGGCATTTGCCAACCCATTGAATATACCAACATAATTGCTAGATTAATGAGAACCTCATGATATTGTACTATATTCCATTCTATTCCATTATCTAGTCCATGAGACATTAGGATGTTAAAAACATGTCCATTATATATATGATTATCTTTCCATTACATATATTTCAATTGAATTGATGTAATGTATGAAAAAATATAAGTCAGCTATAGGATTGCATCTGTTTGATGGGAAAATAGTCCCGACATTCTAATGGATTATATCTATGTATCTATACATATTATATACATACATATATATATATATATCACCAACATATATCTACCATGACTCACAATGATTACATCCAAAAGATTCAATTTAATATATCTACCTTTATATTCCATAGGATCCAATGAATGTGAATATATGCATGATTATGATCCTAAAAGAATAGAATGATATATCATCATGATTTACAGATTCTATCATAAGTATGCGTTAATATCATGCTTTTAAAATTTATATATATATATACATATGTTCTAAATATTCATATATCATTCATATATCATCCCATTCATATACCTACAAGGCGGTGCCCCCCCAGTTCAAAAATTGGTTATAAACAATAGTAACTAGTTCGATATAACCCCCATTCATCAACCCAACAGTTCTTGGACTTATATGTTTGCACCAACTTAGCGAACTGGGGCACCTTGTATAAATAACATATATCACACTGGTTGGTGGTTTCAAACATTTTGTATTTTCCATTTTATACATGGGATAATCCTTCCCATTGACTTTCATATTTTTCAGAGGGGTAGGTATACCACCAACCAGTGATAACATTGTTAGTAAGGGAAATCATCCCCAAATGGCCCAACAACTCAGGTCAGTGAAATATTATAATTTACCCAGATATACGATGGTATATGAGGATATGTCAAAGCCAATTATTACCATATTTGGGGAAATAACAATATAACCACCAACCAGAATAACATATATATATATATATATCACATATATCCAAAAACTCAGGTCAGTGAAATACTACAATTTACCCAGATATATCACTTCTATATATATATAATATATATTATCCAAAATAAAAACACAGCCCCTGCGGCAACTCTCAGGGGTCTCCCCTGCGCCTCCGGCGCCTCTTTGGCGTTGACGCTCTACGATGCCACCCAGAATCTCACCCTGACGCAGGACGTGCGAAACAGGGAGACCCGGGGGAAAAAATGGGTCGTTGTGTTCCGGGAAAAATGGTGATTTCTCTATGAAAAATGGTGACTTCACGACCAAAAATGCTACTTTCTCTAGGAAAAATGGTGATTTCACCCAGGAAAAATTGTATTTAGTTGGGAAAAGATTGGTTTCACTGGCAAAAAGTGGGATTTGATATGGGTGAATCCCGGATTACCCCCCCCATGTTGTTGATGTTTTTCCCCCATAGTTTGGTGGCACCATTTGATTGTTCCTTCCAGGCGATGGCGCAGATTACCCCAATTTTTATGCGACTGTGAGATAGTGAGAAGGGTTTTTTGTCACCTGGTGGGAATCTGTTCCATTTGCCAAGATCAAGATAACGTTTCTTCAGTTCTTTCAAAGGCCAAACTCGAACAAGAAATGTCTCCACTCTTTGAGGAAACTCCTGTGAGCATCTGCCCGATATGCTCGCAAGTATCCCAGGCATGCTGGACGGCAGGAAAGCTATCTTCTTCTCGGCAAACTCTGCATCTGGGCCAATACTTCCACTGCAACTACAAGCCACGAAGTGGACCATCCACAGCCACCTCTCCAAACCCTTTTGGAACCAGAGGCTGTCAAAAGTGGTCTTGAATCCCCAATGTCCCAGTCTGCCACCCTCGAAGGCGCAGCCTGGCAGCACAGGTGATCATCATCATCACCATCATCATCATCATCACCATCACCATCACCATCACCATCACCATCATCATCATCATCATTATCAATCATCAATCATCAATCATCAATCATCAATCATCATCATCATCATCATCAATCATCATCATCATCATCACTATGTCTTCCGAAAGTTTATCCATATATGTAATTAATGTACGCGTGTTTGCAAAAAGGTAGATAGATAGATAGATAGGTAGGTAGATAGATAGATAGATGAATGCTAAAAAACCAATAATAGCTTCAATTGCAACACACATCCACCCCGAACCCCCATGGTCCGTCGCACACACATCCGCCCCGAACCCCCATGGTCCGTCGCGCGGCTTCAGAAACGGCCAAGCGGGTCGTTTCTGGTCGTCGTTCGGATCGTACCAGGGTTGCTCCAACCATGGTTGGAGAATATCATTGTGTAGTCATGTGCGAATATAGTATTGATTTTGGTACGCTTGGCATATAATGGGGATGTGATTTAAGTTTCATGCAGAATAACCATTAATATTCATTCGTTTTCAACACGGCACCACCAAATTTGATGTTTGATCATCATGTTCCCTATCAAAAGTTCCAACTCATTAAAGCTGAGAACCACAAGGGTGGAAAATCATTCATTTTACCTCTTGATCTAGCCAATTTCCGCCCCGTGTATTTGGGGTGGTGGGAGCCTGGTCATAATGAACCATCCGTTTCTACCAAAATGTTGCCTCATGGCACTAGATTTTGGTGACAGATCCATGAATCATGATAATCAACTAGATCTTCTAGCTACTAATCATAATAATGATAATCATGCTACAGCAGGTGAAGATAAATCTTGGTACCATAAAATGGTCCCATAAGTTGTTGATTCTCCGTCATAAAATCGATCTGGATCCTTGGATTTGGGATCACCTCTCCATGGTCCATGTCACCAAGGAGATCACCAAGGAGATCATCTGATTAACACATACCCTCTGGAATCCCTCTGGTTATGACTAACAGTTTGCCATGGAAAGACCCACCCATTTTTAAGAACGGTAAACCATCTATTTCTATGGGCCATTTTCCATGGCTATGTTCAATAACCAGAGGGTAACACATAGTACCAACATATCACCATCACATACCGTAGGTATGTATATCTCATACCAACAATGATGATTATGGTTAATATAGGAAGATATAATATCAACATATATCACCTATGCAATCAACAAGTATTAATCATGAGGATCAGCTATCATAGTTGGTGATTATGACTATCACAAGATTAAGTTATGGTTGATTGTGATTGTCATAATCATGACCACCAACTATGATAGCTGATTGTCATGATTTTGATGTTATCGCCAACTATCATACTATATGACTAAGTCTCATAAATACTCAGTAACCATTGATACTCAACCAGTAACCATTGATACTCAACCATGCTACTCGTACACCCTCATTTGATGATTGATCATCATTTTGCCTATTGCCCTCTCTGGTTGTTCAACCTAGCGCACTGGAAAATCCCCTTTTAAATTGGTGAGACATCATTTTCATCATCTATTTCTGGGCCTTGGCTTCCATAGCTATGTTAAACAAAAAAGAACAATGGGTAAAAATTCCAGGTCAACTTCCCTATCGCAGCCAGGAGCTGGCCCATGGTAGCAGCCAATCCTTCGGCTGCAACACTGTCAACTCGGACTACGCAGGGGGACCCGTTTCGTCGTTACTGGTGCTTTTTTAACTGGATTGCGGGTCGATGGTTGCCCTGTTTTTTGGTGCTGATTATACAAGTGCTTAGAAAGTTGGGGAAAAAAACATTAGTGACATCTTCCGAGCCCAGAGCGGACACATTCGTCCGTGAGACTAGCCCGATGCTTGTGCTATGATCAGAATCCCATTTATAGCCATCCTGGAGAAGATAGAATCTGGAAAATAAAAAAAACATCCTCACGATATGTATGTGAATGTCTGGCTGAAAATTCCGGTCATTCTATCTATTTCAAATGATAAATCAGCATGATATTTAGATATGAACCATTTAATCACCATTTTCACATGTCCTCACTGCTGGTTGGAGATAAAGCCACCAGAATGCTTCAATCATTGTGATCCAGGCCGGTGATGCGACTTTGACCTGCCAAGCACAGGCGCAGTTTGCTATGGCAAATGGCCCATAGAAATAGATGGTTTGCCTATTAATAGCATGGTGATTTTCTATTTCGCTATGTAACAAATTTCCAGAGGGTAGGTTTTGACCCTTTTCGCCCGGTGGTGATTTGTTTCTTACTGATCTATGGGTTTCAGTGGTTACAGTATCTAGTCAATGGCCATTTCAGGAACCTAAATTGGAGGTACCTACTTGTATGGTACAGTACCTCCATTTTAGGATCCTGAAATTCCCATTGATCTAGTTTTGAATTGCCAGAACAAGTACAGTTGCGTTAACTGGGTTGTTCTAAGTTTCAGTGCCAACTAGAAATACCCAATTAAGTCCAATTGAGGTTTTTTTAACATCACCGTTCTGATTGTTTGAAATCGTCACGTACGAAGTGTGTCCCCATGTTAAAGTGTTTCTATCCACATGTTCATTGCTGATTGCTGATACTCTCATTCTTCATGTTCCTTTTCAATGGCTTCACACCCGCATGTTTATTGGCCATATCCACGTTCCCTCCATATCCTCCCTGTGAAATCAAAGGCCTCCAGGTGATCAGGATTCATGTTGGTAAAAACGGTACTGGCTTCATACACCACCTTAAATTCCTAAATCCCAGCTTTAGACAAATCTGGATTTTGAGGCTTTAAATGGGCGCAAATCAAACAGTATCTTGATTATTCAATTGATGTTCACTGGGTTGGGAGAAAAGCCATTAACCATTTTCATAGCTGTAAGAAATCAACCATTACATCACCCGCCATTTTCCTTGGTCAAAGCCACCAGTTTTAGATAATGTGGGAAAAGCAATGTCATAAACCACCCATTTGGGAATGGTTTAGACATTATTATAAAAATGTTGAAATTGGGGATGGTTTATGGCATTGTTTTACCAACATTATACATATATATATATATACATACATATAATCATGATATCCCTATTACAACCTGTCTATCCCTGGTATACCCAGACTTGATGGATCTACTCATGGCAACATCCACCGGTTTTGCAGGTCCTGCAGTTGGACAGCAGCGTGTGTAGCTGTCAGGCCGTCGAGAAAATAAGGTGATTTCTATCGAGGAATGGAGGATTCAATGGGGAATCCCCTAAGAAATGCTTGGCTTATAGTGGAAAATGCGATTTCAATAGATGATTTAGGTAGGGGTAGCCCCATGACTTTGGAAACCTCGAAATGTGAAAAAGCTTGGGGTTTCAGCAGTGATTTGGTGTGTTTTTTAGTTGGCACTGGTTTAACAGTATGGGAAAACTTGGATTTCATGATTTGGTCAGACAAGTGACGATGGTCGAAGATTACCTGTGACAGATCTTGCTACCCACGAAGTGATAGCAGCAACTTCTGGCAGCTTCTGTGTGCCTAACGTGCCTCGTTGAGAACTGGCAAGCAGGAGGGCAAGTCATACCAGTCTCGCTCGGCTAGATAGAGACCTTCAGCAGGCATGCCTTCATAGTCCACAAAAAAATCGTGCAAACGACGCCCAGTGGTCATCTGCCGAAGCCACATGGGATTGTTCAGCGATAGGTTGGTTCATCCACTGGGCAATCCACAGGGAATGTGTTTGGTCTTTTGGGGTCAGCAAATCCCAGGTGGGGATGGCTCCTTGTTATAAGTGGGCCTTACCTAGCCCTATTGCAACCAGTATAGCTTAGTTCGCTGGCGTCATTGGTCACGAATTGCTCCCTATCCAAAATTACAACAAGAATTCCAATAAATCATCATAAATCTATAAATTTGCCCACACCACAATCTTTGTGAGGTGGTCTTAGTGAACTCACCCGTGACTTTTTCGGCTCTTGTCCTCTCCACTGCCATCGAGCCTTGTCGTGTTGGGTCGTCTTGCGTACTTCCAATCCCACAATTCCTCTATTTTTAGACAGACCCGTAGATCCGCATTTTTACCAATGGTTCATTCACAATATTAACCCAGGATTGATAACCACCACTTTACGAATAAGGATAATAGGGGGATACCAATTTGAAGAGTAATTTCTGGCTATTTGGGGTAACCCCCGACCAGAGTTTTTTGTCGATTCAATCCCTATGGTTTGCTGCTCAAATCCCCAGTTGTCTTGGGAAAATACCTCAAATCATAGTTGATGTTTGGTCAAACCTTGCATGGGCACTAAAGGTACTAACTAATCTCTTGTAAGTGGTGATATGAATCCTAACCAGCAAAATTTTGACATGTGTTGCAGGCCATCTCGGATTGGCAAGGTTATTCGTTCATGACATCCCATGAAATCCCATTAAACCATCATTTGACATCAGAGGTGAAATCCTATTAAATTCCATGAAATCCCATTAAACCATCATTTGACATCAGAGGTGAAATCCTACTAAATCCCATGAAATCCCATTTAACCATCATTTCACATCAGAGGTGAAATCCTTTTGGTTCCCATGAAATCCCATTAAACCATTATTTCACATCAGAGGTGAAATCCTATTAAATCCCATGAAATCCCATTTAACCATCATTTGACATCAGAAGTGAAATCCTATTAAATCCCATGAAATCCCATTTAACCATCATTTTTGTTGCTTAACATTCGCCCTTTTCCCTTGGTGAAAAACCCATAGTGAAAGTCGCAAGGCGCAAGCCTGCAGCAGCGCGCCCTGCGGTGCCAGTGCTACCTATAGCGTCCAGTTGTTGGGGAAGCCCAGGGATTGCCAGAAAAAGTGGCTGAATTCGATTGGGTTTATGGTACCATCTGGTTATTTAACATAGCCATGGAAAATCCCTTTAAATGGAGGTTTTAATGGGAAAATCATCTATAAATGGACCATTTTCCATGGCTATGTTAAATAACCAGAGGGTAAAAATATAACGACCAGATGTTAATGGATGTTAATGTGGTATGTATACTTGGTGGCTCGCCACCCACGAATCCTACGAAGGTTATATCCCTGGTTCTTTTTGTGGGAATCCGCTTACAACTGGGGTGAACTAACCTACTTGCTAAGTGGAATGAACCACCAAGTCTATTGTAAATCATAGTGGTTTATAGATGTTAATAACTATATAGTTATATAATTATATAGTGGGCTACCCATCAGTTGGTTTATACAATTAGGCAAACTAATTACCCTCTGGTTATATAACGTAGCTATGGGAAATCACCATGTTTAATAGGTAAATTATCAATAACCAGAGGGTAAATCAACAAGAATATGGGTAAACACCTCAGTTATGGTTAATGAGAGTTGGATTGCAAAGTTTGCGCAAGCAACATGAGGTCATTTTTTTAATCACAAGGTCGTCCATAAGAGCAACGATGCTTCAGCGCTGGAAGTCCACTGTGTGTACATGGTTGCCAGTACGATGCAAAAATCTAACTCCCTTTCTCAATTGTCCCCTTAAAGGTTGCCTTTTTGGGAATCTTCCATTTTTGATTGCCCAATTCCGCAACTTACCCTCTGGCAATTAGACATTGCAATGCGAAATCCGCCATTTGGTTGGATTATGTCCTTACATTCTTGTTAGATGTTCGCATTGAAAATAGGGAATCCGGTGACCGACAATCTTTCCAGAAATTCCAGTGGCTTGTCCCTCATTCACTTGAGCATTTGAATTGTTGGCTGAAAAAAGATTGATGCCCCGCAAATATCCCAGGATTTTTTCATGTGTTCCCATCAAAATTGCTGAAATGTGTGTATGTGTGTGTGTGTGAGTTGGATAATGTTCCCATCATTTCCCATTAAAAATGCTGGAAACTGTGGAACTTCCCAGAAATGTTCCCATGTTTTCCCATCCAAAAATCCTGAAATATGCAGAATGTTCCAAAAAAAATCCTGAGTCCATTCAACATCTCCATTTATACATAAATTTCATGATATTTTCCCCTAAAAACAGCCGTGAATCTTTGGCATCGCAACCCAGGAGTGGGCTCCTCAGCACGCCGGTGCTGGGCGAAGAGCTACAGAGTTTGACCTCCACGACGCGCAGCTGCGCCTCTGTATGGGAAGCCCAGTGGGAGATGGCGAAAGTGGATCTGGTTGGTGGTTTGGAACATGACCTTTATTTTCCATAATATATGGGATAATCCTTCCCATTGACTAATATTTTTCAGAGGGGTAGGTATACCACCAACCAGGAATAGGTTCACCGATATTGTTTCGGGAAATATGGAAATATAGAATCTAAGGGCTGCCACCCTCTGCCGCCAACCATCCCTATATTAGCCATGGTCAAAAATTGGATGGTCGTATCGGGGGATTTCCGTGATGGAATGGATGAACATCAACCGTACAAACATATTAAGTTGGCTATAAATACATATCCCATTAATATATCGATATTTTGTTATAAGTTAGGAATATTTATATATGTATACATACATAGTTACATACATATATACATATATATACATATATATATACATTTATTAACCAGACATATGCAATATATATATATATATATCCCACTAGATACCCATGATATTCTCATGAATTCTTGGCTTAAGCTGACCATGGCACTGCCAGGCAGTAGAGGGTCATTCTGGCGACATCAGCATCCTCTGTTCGGGAGGTCAGCCAAATCCTGGGGGATCATGCTGTGAAGCCAAGAAAAAAAAACGCCCAAAATCAGCTGTTCCCTTCTCTTCACCAAGGTTTTACCCTTAATTCCAGCTATCTCCAGTTTGATCACTGGGATTCTGGTGGATCTCCATGTTGGAAACGATATGAAACATGACGTCTTGGATTTTATCGAGATCCTATGCATTTTTGAAGGCCTTGGTTCATGTTCAGCCAAGATTGGTAGTTGATATCCCACTAAAATATAGCGTGGCTTTGTGAGCTATGCCACCTTCGTCATGTCGAAAGAGGACTTCAGATCAGCCACCTGATCCCAACTGCCATGGTTTCGATTTTCCCCGATTTTCCCTTTCACGTTTATCATACGAATGTTCCGCGCATGGATGTGAAGAAGTAGTTCAAGTTGATAACATCCGTGTACTCGACATCAAGGCGTACTATCAGATCATTCTAGTTGGTAATTGTCATCATTGTCCGCGTTTTCTTAATTGAAATCCTGATAACTATGAGAAGATGCAATGCAGGAGGTCTGGCCAAAGAATTACCTGCAACTTCCCGCGCTTCGAGATTAAAATCCCATGTTTTATAACCTCATGTTTCCTCAAGTGACCATTTGAGAACCCTTTTTTTGGAGCCCATTGGCACAATCCCCGGCCTGAAATCTCGGCAGGCGTCTTGAAGGCCGACGCCTCCTTGTGCAGTCCGTGGGGGCAACTCGGGTGGTGTTGGTCCATTTGAGCCATGGCGAGCTGCGAAAATGAGAAAAACCAGCCAGAATTGGGATGAAACACAATTTCTTGGAAAAAGAAAGGGGGAACATTGCTGCATCCGAATCTTGGTTGCTACATCTCGGTGACAGATCCTGTTGGTGTCTAAAACTCCTGAGTACCTACGAGCAGGATGTCATAGATGTTGGTGTTCATCGGCGACTGGGTGTACCCATGAAAATACGGGAACCAACAAGAGTTGGACATGTATTCTTTGTTGAATATGTTGGAGAATTACCCAGTAAAAAATGGGTGGTATTGGTATTCTCCATAAATGATATAGATATGTTCAGGAGGTCCGATATCAACCAACGATAGTTGGGTACTATTGGATAAACCAACTGCTGAAAGGTATGTCCATGGATGAAGGTAGATTTTGTTGCTAGAGTATCCAAAGTAAGCCATGGCAAAGCTGGAAGAGGTTCCGACGTTCCGACCATCCTGCCAGCCAGTAATCCCCCCGAATATATCATAATCAATACCCCCCACAGAGCTCCCAAAATGTCTACATCCAATAGCCGGTTTGGGGGATGGGATTAGTACATGGGATTAGTTGGATCCTCTCGGATCAACGAGGCTTGGTTGCGATGCTACCACCACCCCAGTGGAGGCCCAAAATCAAGCAGTTTTGGACGTGGGATCCAGGAAGAAGTTTTGAGGCGGAACTAGAAATTCCAAGCGGTGGTCAATGGGAAAACGTGTTCTTTTCAGGTTTCAACCGGCAGAATCCAAAAATTGTCGCAAAAGTGATGGAAATATTCACCTCCAAGAAGTCAATCTGGTGCAGTTGCTAATCCCCTGCATTTTGATCTTGCTGGTTACAATCCCATTTTTTTGGGTTGACAACTCAGCCATTTTGGCTGCTCAATGTCTCCATTCTTACTGGCTTACCTCTGACTTGGGATTGATTATAATCTACTGTTAATCTACCAGAGAGTTCTTATTTCCCCAGAGAGCATGAATAATTTGAACACTTAGTTAAACCCTTATTTCGTTATAGCCATTGACACCCAGAAAAAAATCTTTCATGGTTAGACACCCCAATTCTTTGGTAGTTAAACACCCATTCTTTGATAGTTAACCCCCATTTGATGGATAATTCTGCATTTTTGATGGTTAACTCACCAATTTTCATGGTTCCACCAGTGACGCCCCGCACAGCACCAGTGCCAGGTGGTCGTAGGCGGCTCCACACGAAGCATCTCTGCCACACAGGTCACCCGGGGATGGCCTTTTTGGAACGCTGAAGCGATGGCTAGTGGTACTATTTGCATATCATCTATATATAATGGTGATCTATATAACCAATGAAGAATATGTGTTTGGATATATATATATTTATTTATATACATACATATATATATATATGTATATATATATATATGTGTGTGTGTGATGTGTTCTTTATATACCTATATTTCTCTAGATATTCATATTAATTAATCCACAAGGAAGCTGGCCTCACCATGACTCACCAGGCCATGCTCCATGGTGAGCACTTCGTGGCAGACTCCTGTTCCAACGTGGACAGTGGCTATGAGGGCGTCGGGGCGTCACAGGGCTAACCAGCTGGCACCATACTGGGCTCACCGCACGGATTTGAATTTGTCCAACATCAAATGAGTATAAAAACTCAGGTTTTGAAAAGATAGGAAATTTTATCCCTGTCTTCCAAGAACATATCCAGTGTCCATCCATGTGTTTCGAGCCTGCCTCCGAGTCCATCAACGTCACCTGCTACTTGGGCACGTTGATGTCCAGCAGCTGCAGGTCTGGGACCTTAGCAGCGCCAGCGAAATCCTGCAGCTTTAGACCTTGGATGCTTGAAACCCTATACCCTCTGGTAAACATACAAAAAACTTTGGAAAATCACCATTTTCAATGGGTAAATAAACTAAATAAATGGTCATTTTCAATAGCTATTTTAAATTACCAGAGGGTAAATCATGGGATGTTTACCATCAACTGGTGATTCGGATTTCGCTGGCCCATCCACAGGCTGGGATGAGTATTGGATGATGATCTCATTAGGATAAGGATTATTGGGTTCTAATTATTGGATAATTAGTGTTGTTTTTAAGCCAATGACACTAATTGGATGGCTTGTAATCATCCGAAAAGTCATGACAACTCCAGCTGCTCCATCAAAATGTGTTATGTTTATCCAACTTATTGGGGGTAGACAGCGGGATTGCGGATGAGGGATATATAAGAAATGCACTATGATGCCTGTGTGTGTGTCACAAGAATGGAGATCCTCCAGTAGATACATAGTTGTGGCAAGCCAGCCGTTTTGAAGATCATTATCTCGAAACCATGTTTTTTCATACCCATATTTAATTACTGGATGGTATATTCTAGAGCTGCAATTGAATGGGAAGGATGATGAGTATCCATTGGGGTTCGATTTATTCCATTTTCTGACAAACCCATGTGGAGTTTAATTTCAGCTGCGAACAGATGTACTGGTCATTCTTACTCGTGAATCATCCTTTTGTGCTGTATCCAATTTTGACCCATACACTAACAAAAAACTCCGCACCCTAAAAACGGGGTTGCTCAATCCCATTATAGCCAAATGATGGCTACAGTTCCCGCCCCAAAACGTATCGCCAGGGAGCAACCCTGTCTGTTGGTTATGTCCCCATTCTATCCCAGTTCAAATCACGCTTGTATAGGTTAATCACCATCCACTATATCCCAATTATATCATATCATATCTCCATAACAGCCCCATTCATTAATCCCTCATGTATGCCCATATGTTGCTTGGGAAGACACAGTTTTGGATGTCGGCGAGGCCCAAACCTTGCGAGGACACCGTGAAGTACGTGACGCATGCAGGCGGTGATCAACCTCTCTGTAAGGTTAATGATCAACCTCTATTTGGGATGGTGAAACATATGGGGGTTTACCACATATGAATGGATTGGTTTAAGGGAAAATCTACAGGAAACCATAGATTTTCCCATCAAATATGGGGTTTTCCTGTAAATTTCCCCTTAAACCAATCCATTGAACATAGCAAAACTTTCCAGATAGAAAAGTTCAAAGATATTTAGGGAAAATTAAGAGGGAAAACTGGGGAAAACTACCATCCGAGAAACACTTTCTGACATCTTTTTGGCGGTTACTACAAAGCAATGGCTGTTAAACTCTAAAAAGGCTTGAGTTACCAGCGTTTGAAATGGCGGTTTTAATTGGGAGTAAGTTGGATCGATTAGATATATCATTGTCATTGATGTCTAAAATGATTGCAAGTATCTTCCCACATATCACATAAATAGCCATGTGTCCCATATTATGATATACCCCACTAGTATTTTGAATTGTGGCAAGTATCTTCCCGCGTATCAAATAAATAACCATCCCATGTGAACACCTATTGATCGCAATGACCAAGTTTCCTAGTAGCACTCGCAGGTCTGAACTTGTTGGCACGGCTCAACGGCGATTCCCTAGGCGAGCTGAGGGATGCAACTCCGGACCACTCAGCTGGCAAATCTCAGCAAATTGATGGGAAAATATGTCATCGAACAAAAAATGAATGAAATTCAGGCCAGGTACAATAGCAAGAGACTAACCATCAAAATGCCGATTTATTCCCCGAAGTCTTGGGATTTAACCAACCAAAACAGAGAGAGAGAGAGAGAGGTGAAACAACTGGGTAAACCAACTGATAAAGGGTAGTTTAACACTTTAATCTTTTGCAGCTTTGATGGGGGTACATCTTAAGCCAAATTCAGTTTACCTAAGATTACTGGCAGAGCTGTGCTCGATGGTGGAGAACGCCATTTGGCGCTGGTGTCTGCGATGCTGGAGAGCATCCCGGATGAGCTCAATCTGAACCCCCCCCATCAATGCCATTGGAAGTTTCAAACTTTGAGAAACGACAGCACTTCTGGAAGTTTTGCTCCTCAGAGTTCGTCACATTGCAAGCGAAGAATCGGCTTTGGAACAAGCAGGGCGTCTTTTGGAAAACCATCCAGGTCCAGAGCCGGTTGTGTCTTAGCCAACTGTACCTAGCCCGCCATCTGAGACTGTCAGTTTTCCGCCCGGAATTTGGAGAATAGGAATCTATGTTTAAGTATATATATACATATCTAATATATTTGGATACTGGGAATCTATTCTTAATATATGTTTAATTAGTAACTATTGGCGCAGCTTGGTGGCCTCTTTTAAATCCTCGGATTCCTTGCAGGGCTTCCTGCAGGACGTCGCAGCCACAAAAATGCCCGCTGTTTGTCGCTGTAGATTGGTTGGTATACACCACAAAACGGAAGCCTTGAAATGACGATCAGAATTTCTATAAAGCAATAATGTCGGCGGCGCAGATGATATGTTTGGTTCCCAATTCATTCCTGTTGTGGTTGTAAAACTTGGAACGCTGCCATGATCATTGAAAATAGTACATGGTAAGTGGCTATCCCATTGTTTCCCATCACATCTCACCAAGAGATTCCATGCCAGCTAACCACAATTTTCAGTGACCATCCCAGCAGGCTATCCCCACCGACTGGTCCTACCGGAAGAGATTGTTGGTTGGAAATACGGAGATTCGCCCAGATTGGTTGTATATTATACTGAGAAAGTATTCCGAGAGATCAAAATGGCCATACCTAGTTCATGTATGATATGCCCGCTTTTTGCTATCATTATATCAATTATATCCTATATTCACAATACAGATAAAGATGATAGATACTTGCCTGTCCCAAAATTGTAGACATTCATCTCTCGTTGTGGAATTAAAACCCATATCTCACTATTCCACAACATCTCATATCCAGAATCCCATGCCCGTTTTCACCCAGAATGATGGAGATTGAAAAGTTGGAAATGATGGGGAAACAGCGTCTATCCCGCAAGAATAATGTTGTATATCCCATATGATCATAAAATATCATCAAATGCTAGTTTGATCATGTTATGGAGAATCATGATAATCCATGATAATCCATGATACTATTTGGGATATGATTTTCATATGGATTGAATATCCCAAATAGTGTCATGGATGAATATGGATTATCACATGTATATAATTTATATACATCTATATATTTGTATATATATATATATATTTATCTATTTATTTATATATTTGTATGTGTATATATATATGTTATATGTATGTATGTTGTATCTCCCCTATATCTTTTGGGGAGTGACGAGACGACTGCGCAGGCAGTACCTCGCCAGCCCCAAGCGGCTTCGAGGCCGAGCGTGGGGCTTTCGCATTAATCGCAGGAATGGTTTCATCAATCTGGTTAAACCAATAGAAATCTAATGGATCTAATGGCTATAGTAACCATTCATTATGATTCACAGATATCTGGTTATACATTCATATCTGATTAACCACTAGCTCGGACAACTTCGGTGCACGCGCGGCGTGAGCAGTGCGGCGCAGCACAAGGTGGTCATGTCGTCGGGCCGGCGCTGAAACAACTTGCTTAATATACATACCAAGGGCAGCTGAAAGAGTTTGCCCTCAGCTGCCTTCCATGTTTCTGCCACAAGGTGTTGGCAAACATTAACGGTGTGGCTGGAAGCAGCTTGAGTCGGTTGCTCAGAAAGCCGCTTGAAAGTCAAAAATGTACAAAGATGCTGCTAGACAGGTGCCAGCAGGTGACCAATAGAATCACAACAAAATGGGAAAAGCACACCAACACTCAGTGTGCCCCGTGGCTTGATTTCAATCGAGCTGTGTCCATGCAAGCGGCTTCAGAGAAATCCTGGAACAACTTTGCGTGCACCGAGCATTGAAAGGCAGCAACTGTCCAAATGGCAATTCAAGTTGGCTCAACAACTTTTCAACAACCAACGGCTGGAACACAAGTTTGAACAGAGGTACTGCACGAGCGCAGTCAAGGTTGACCGGGTTGCGTCGATGACGCCAAGACCTGAGGGAATCAAGATCAAGGGTCCAGTCCACAAGCATCTGAGCCGTATGAAAGCCATATGCTCCGCTTGAGCAGCAAGAATCTTGGCCGATCCTCACGCACTTCAGTTCCGACAACTGCGTCGCCAGAAGCCACAAACCTCCAGAGACTCGTCTGCAAGATGCCAACACCAAGTGTGAACATGCTGAAATCAATGTGCTGAATCCGTAAGGTCCTGCTCGATTGCTCAGGGGCCTCGGTGTCCTCACGATGATGTTCTGCCCCGCGCCATCTCAACTTGAAATCATTTTGACAATCACTGTTGGGGACCACGTGGCCCTGCCCGCACAAATCTCATTCAGTTACCAGCTCACTGGCGACATTGGCTCTCATGTGCCTCCAACAGTTGAGGAGCGACCAAAGATGTAGATCGTCAAAGATCATCCATAGCGGTGGAAAACAATCACCCGAAGATCTGCTGACTCGGCCGCACTGCTGGAAAGATTCGGGCCCACGGCTGGTGGTTAACCAATAATAATAGCTTTTATTTCTATCACCATTATGATGGTTAATCTCCCTTAATTAATAGAAATCATGGCGGTAGCTTGCATGGAATATCAACCATTTTCTCTTCATGGATGTTTTACCATTTTCTTAACCGTGGTGGCAAATGGGATGAAGTACACACCATGGTTGATCATCCCCAACTGGATGGGTAGAAACTAATGCTCTCATCTTTGGTGCTAATGAAAAAGCAACCATAACCAGCAAAAGATTGTTTTATTGGTGACTTTCAAAGATTGATCATGGCACCATGGCATTCTTGGTTGGTTTTGCCATGGGAATTCAACCACCACGAGGGATATTCATGAGGATTATATTGGGAGTCCGAATCAACCAACCAGTATAACGGGGTTGGTTTTTGAAGTATTCACTATGTTCATACAAATCCACAAGTTACATATCCAAATAGTTATATATTCCATTAGCCTCATCGACTTTTTACATATATATATATGTGTGTGTGCGCGTGTGTGATATCCCCATTTTGTGGAGGTTTGCTAAAACGGGTGTACCCCCGAAACATCCAAGTCATTCGATCAGTTGCAACAATCATGGTGACTTGGGGATCCCCGGTTTCGAGAAACCCCATATGGTATTTTTAAAATTACCATCCCCTGGCCAGCAAAGGATGAAGGGTTGACCAAGATGCGTTTAATCATCAAAAAAAACTATATTCTTTGGCGATTGGCCCAATAACCCATGCTAGTGCTAATGGGGATTATGTACCAACTTATCGCTTGGGGGGTTACTCCCCTGTACTGGTAGTATTTGTAAAAAGTATATACATACATACGTGCATACGTACGTACATACATACATACAGACATACATACATACATGTAGGTATGTATGTATGTATGTACGTATGTTGATACGTACAATGCAATGCAATGTCATGTGATGTAATGTAATGTAATGTAGTGCAATGTAATTTAATGTAATGTAATGGAATGGAATGGAATGGAATGGAATGTATGCGTGGATTGTATGTATTTGTATATGAACTTGAATATGTACATGTATTTTTTGTATATGCATATGAGAATGTATATGTATAGATATACATCTATCTATA